ATGAATCACTATAACAAACACAGGAAACACTAGACACTCACCAACACTAGGAAAATCTCTGTGAAGGTGGCATACAATCTGAGTGTTAAGAAAATAAACTGAACAAAAAGAAATCTTTACAAGGGAGAAGCACACAGCAGATCCAGAATGGATTCTGAGAAAGACAGCTACAGTAGCAGAAATAGGTCCTGCATCTTAGAAGCTGTTAAGAGTTGATGACAAAAGCTAGGCATAATGGCGCATGCCTTTAAACCCAGCAGTCTGGAGGCAGCAACAGGCAGATCTCTGTAGTTCAAGGGTAGCCTGGTATACAGAGCTCCAGGACAGCAGTGCTACATAGTGAGACTGCCACAAAAAAGAAAAGAAACATCGTAAGACAGCTGATTTGAGTTTTAAGGTAGGTCTCATATTACAAAAACCACTTCAGATAAGTTGGTCTAGAAGATACATGTTAAATTATTAAAACTGTAATGATCATGGTAGCCTAAATATTCGACAAAGTAGTAAGAATTAAAATAAACAGTTACTTGCCGGGCGGTGGTGGCGCACGCCTTTAATCCCAGCACTCGGGAGGCAGAGGCAGGCGGATCTCTGTGAGTTCGAGACCAGCCTGGTCTACAGAGCTAGTTCCAGGACAGGCTCCAAAGCCACAGAAAAAACCTGTCTCGAAAAACCAAAAAATAAAAAAATAAAAAATAAAATAAACAGTTACTTATGCTGAAAGGACATAAGTAATAAAACTGACTGAGAAGTGATAAGTTGTCTGATGTAACAGGAATACTTTAGCCAAAGTAATACTTTGTCTTAGCAACTCAATTGGGAAAAAAACTGCCTACCACTGCTTGCCGTTGATAATCTTCTGGAGAAGAGAAGGACCTCTGGACCATCTGTGCTGATGGAGTCATGTTACCCACTGTCCTTTCATAGCTGCAAAGAGAAAACAGGAATGATGAGTGGTCATCATTCAACAAACACTCAACACCAGTAAGTTATGAGCAAGACAGTTCTCAATGATGAAAATGATTAAGACAAGGACAGTTCCTATGTGTTAGGGGATTGGAATAGCTGGAGATCAGGACAGCCTTTCTGAAAAGGACATATTTAAAGTTCTGTAACATCATGTTTTCTGGGAACACTGTTTTCCTCTTGTGTTACCTATTATCTTTACCAATACAATGGCAGATACAAAGACAACAGGGCTAGTATTAACTACTTGACTCTACAGAACAAAAACGTATTGGTCCTCAAGTCAATGACATCGTTCAAACTGAGATTTTTTGTCTAGCTACAAATGAAGGAAATAGTAAAGAAACTAAATTTGACTTTAATTTGAGCAATTAGGGAGGTAGGTATCACTGAGACATTAAAGCGAAAAGGTTTGGATAACATTTGTTTCCTCATTTTAGTGTTGATTTAGACTCGGTGGAGGTAGGGAGGAAAAGGGGGCTCTCTTTTACTTTCTCTGGGGGATTGTGCAAGGGGGGGGGCTCAGAGCAGATCATGTGTCCAGATTCTAAGAGAGTCAAAAATTACAGCTTACTTTATGCCAGAGTATTAAAATAATTCACCCTAGCCTATGATTAAAGTTAAAAGAAGTGGCTAGCATACTTACTCAACCCTCTCAAGAAATTCTAAGAGGAAGATCTTTGCTCCATTTAGGATACCTTTGACTGTTATATCAAAGTAGCTGAAGAGTGTCAACTGATTAAGTGTTTAAACACCACTAACTGATTTTGGCTGGCAAAAAAAGAACACAGGGAAAGCAATGTTTTTGTACTATTGCTTTTTATAATTCCTCCTTCCAACATTTCTCTCCAGCTTTGGCAATGCCTTAATCCAAACCAACTTTGATCCAACAGTCCCACAAGGTCACTTGCCCATAGCTTTCTAATTGGTATTTCTTTCACTAATGTCTTTTCTAACACATTCTTCTCCCACTGCAACCAAGTAACTCGTTAAACTTCTAACTTCGTATCATCATTTGACTTAAAAATATTTTAATGCTTTCTTCCTGTTCAGAATAAATCCTCCAAAACTTGACTGTAGCTCTATGAGACACTTACTCAGTCTTTATGTACTTCATCAAAATTCCCTACTGCCTTCATTGCACTGGCTTCTTTCAGTTCCTCATCCATCTGCATCATCTCCTGCTGTTAAAACTCCCTCAAAGCATTTTCTACTTCTCGAGAGAACTAATTACAGTAATTAAACAGGTAGCCACAAAGTACATGTGCTCATCTAAATTTGAAGTTCCACTTGGCAGTGTATCATCCTGTGGCTTCATCAGACCAACCAGGCTTGTCTCCACACACTGCTTAAATCTGGGCAAGTTAACCTCCATTCCATACTTTCTGCACCAAAAGCAGAGGGAGAAATCCTATTTCATGGTTGCTTCGAGAAGTAACCGAGATCATACACAGAAAGGATTTGGTGAGGCGCTCGATAGGTAACAGGTATGTGCTCAATTCTTCAAAGAAAGCCCTTTATGAATAATCATTATGACAAGTATTTTTTGTCTCAATTCTATCTGTTTATGTGGGTAGGACGTGTCTTTACAAACACACGTGACTATAGTTGCATTTCATTTAGTGCAAATAACCACACAATCTATCTGCATCCAGCCTCCTTAGAAAACAGAGGCATGACATTGATCCAGCAGAGCCAGTGGCAAAACAGCTGGAGCATTCTGAAGGAAATCATTCCCTCAGAAACTGTCTGACAATTGACTTAGTGAGAAACAGTACCTGTTAGGAGATGTGGAGGTAGGGCTTAAATTTCCGACATGATGCTGGGGATATGACACATTGGCATCCTGAGAGGCGTGACTACTTCCTAAAACATAATTTAAAATTTCTAATTGAAAACCAAAAAGCCCAACAACAATCTGAAATGTCTCATCCAGTCTAAATTACCCCAAAAGAGATAAACAGTTTAAAAGCAGCACCAACAGCCCTCAAACTAAAACAAAACAAAGAAAACCATCACTCAAATTGCTATAGACTACCTCACAGGTTTTTAAGTAGGTAATACCAGAAAAAGAAAGCATTCCAAACAAGATACTACCTAATGTAGAAACAGCCAATCTGGCCATGCTATTTTGATCTCCACACTGTACTGCGGGACTGTATGGATGGAAAGCCTTAGCCCATCTTCACAAAACAGCAGCAAAGCCAGGCGGTGGTGGCACACACCTTTAATCCCAGCACTCGGGAGACAGAGGCAGGCGGATCTCTGTGAGTTTGAGGCCAGCCTGGTCTACAAGAGATAGTTCCAGGGCAGGCTCCAAAGCTACAGAGAAACCCTGTCTCAAGAAAAAACAAACAAACAAACAAACAAAAAAACCCAGCAGCAACAAAATCACTGTTTGTAAATCACAAAGTACCCTGGGAAATAGCAAAATCTAAAGTATTTCCATCATTAGCTCCCTAATCCAATCTTTAAAATAGAAGTCTGGTCAGGCATCAACAAGTACAATCCCAACACTTGGGAGATAGAAGCAGGAGGATCAAGAGTTCAAGGCCAGACTTGGCTACACAGTGAGTTTGAAGCTAGCCTAAAATACCTGTCTTCAGAACAAAAAACAAGCAAACCAAAAATCCCCTGGAATAGTAGTAGTGAAAGCAAAAGAAAGCAAATGCCTCTCTTTATTACCACTATACCTGAGTCATTACCTGATCTAAACTGAATTTTGATGGGCTTCCCAAAAAGTTTGATTCCATTGAGAAGATTCATGGCGTAAGGAACAGATACTTCGTGTTTGAAATTCACAAATGCAAACTGTTTCAACTTGCCATCTTTATCTTTTGGAATTTTCACCTTTATTACTGGCCCAGCCTACAAAGAAAAGGATTCAGAACTTAAACAAGGCAGTTTCAGGAAAACACGGGAAGTTCAGAATTAAACAATAATGCAAGCACACGGTGGCACATGCCTGTATTGTCAGTAGTCAGGAGGTGCAGGCAGGAGGATTGGTTCAAAGTCAGCCTCGGAGTCCCAGGCTACCAAGGCTACATACAAAGATTGTCTCTCTCTCTCTCAAATACTACAAAGAGAACACAAAGTTTTAAACAATAGTATGTAATCAATGAAAAGTTTCTGCACCCTGATAAGCCTCTTCGCCAATGCAGCAATCCAAATCAGACCAAATCAAACCGAATTAGAAAAAAGTCCAAGTTTAAGGGATAAAATGCTCCAGGATGATTTTCCAGCGCCCCAAAGAGGAGACAGGAAAAAGAGATCAGAAAACCATATCTGTTTTTTTTTTTTGGGGGGGGGGCAGTTTAAATACCCTCTCGGGGAGCCCTCATCATTTGGCAGGCCGAGATATGGCAGGGTTTGGAGAGAGATGGGGGAAGAGGCTTGGGGTGGAACTTTCACCAGGACATTTCAGACCCTTTGGGTACAAAGATGCCAGGAGCTGGGGTGAAGCTTCCACCAGAACATCCAAGATCTCATTAAAAGCCAGGCGGTGGTGGCGCACGCGGGAGGCAGAGGCAGGCAGATCTCTGTGAGTTCGAGACCAGCCTGGCCTACGAGAGCTAGTTCCAGGGCAGGTTCCAAAGCTACAGAGAAACCCTGTCTCTCGAAAAGTTAAAAAAAAAATTGATTTCCGCATCGATCAACTATAATCAGAGATTGAGTCGTAAAGCAGGGCAGGATCGGTCTAACTTTTCGGACTTTTTGTATAAACATGCCAATGCTGTTTTCCTACGTTAAGTGTATAGAGTTTTAGAAACACTTCAATGTCTGCAATTTCATATGCAAGTTAAGCGAACAGAGAAGCGGAAACGTGTGAGACGAAGCAAAGCCCAATAAACTCAAAGAGAAGGCGAGGTACACAGGAAAGGGAAAGCAATGCTGCGGTTCCGTCCCTGGACCTTCACCGGGACGAAGACGCCGACACCCACATCATCAGACGTCACTTTTGGCCCGAACGCCCCAGGGTTCCGGCCTGGCGCGCTCCGCTCCTGACTTGGGCCCCTGACCGCCCCAGCCGCCCTAGGATCGTGCCCGCGCCTTACCTGGTGGAAGAGCTCGAAGAGGAGCTCCTCGGTCACCTTCGTCTCCAGGTTACCCACGAACAGAGTGCGGTCGGCCTCCGCGGCCGCCGCCCCCATCTCCGCCGGGCTTCCAGACTCGGGCCTAGTCGGACTGCTCGCGGGCGGCCGGCCGACCGTACTACGCTCTCTGAGGCACCCGCGTCCTCTCGTTCTGACGTCACGACGTAAACGCCCGTCGCGCGCGAGCGCAGGGCCGCTACGCATGCGCGCGGGAGGAGCCCGTTTCCGGCGGCGGCTCCTTCCGCCGTTGCGTTGAAAATGGCTGCTGGGGTCACTAACGGTTGCCTCCGTCGCAGGCTGGAGTGATCTGCGGCGCTGCCGAGGGCCCAGTTTGGTCGACGTACGTCAAGCAAATACTGCGGGCGGTGTTTGAAGATGGCTCAGAACTCGGCGTCTCTGTCGGCCGGCGATCAAGCCAACAGGGTGGCCTACCGGTCCTCCCAGGGAGATCTCAACCAGCCTACCATGGCTTGGGCGATGGTCTCCGGAGACAGCTTCCTGGTGACCAGTCTTGAACCGAATCAGGCAGGACCTCGCCCGCCAGCGCGACCCAGCGTTCGGACCGACAGACGTCGAATGTCCGTCGGTGGCCGCAGCCGAAGTCGCCAAGGCAGATTCTCGCCTTACCCGATCCCTGGCGTCAAGCTCGACCTCTTAAGAAGTGTGCTGCAGCAGCGTCTGGTTGCCATGGGAACTGCCCTGGTAGCCCGCATCTCGGCGTAGAACAAATGCCTCCTCTCCCGTAGCTTGCAAACAAGGCCTCTCTGAAATCATTTGTTGCTGTAACGACAGTTTTATTTTTACTGGTGTATTTTCACCGAGGTTGGCGGTTAATATAGCCTATCAAAGTAGAGTTTGGCCGGGCTTAGTGACACACGTTTTTAATCTCAGGAGACGGGCTCTGAGTTCCAGGCCAACCTGTTTTAGCTAGTTTGGGGGCGTCTTAATAGCGATTCTTTTTTTTTTTTTTTTGGTTTTTCGAGACAGGGTTTCTCTGTGGCTTTGGAGCCTGTCCTGGAACTAGCTCTTTTAGACCAGGCTGGTCTCGAACTCACAGAGATCCGCCTGCCTCTGCCTCCTGAGTGCTGGGATTAAAGGCGTGCGCCACCATCCTTATTGGGCCAAGAAGGATGTAGGAGGGATTTTCTAAATGACTGAATGTAGTCTCTTGTCCAGACTGGTCGAGACTTGCCATGTATTAAGGATGGTCTTGAAATCGTCCTTCTGCCTGCCGGTGCCTTGTAGGTGCTGAGGTTTACAGGCGAGAGCCACACACCCAGCTTGAGTGACAGTTACTCAATACAGAATCCAGCTGTATCTGATTTCCACAACCCTCCCTGAACTCAAGCTTTCTTAACTACCTTCCTCTTTACCTTAGACTGCCCTTCAATTTGTGTTAGGGAAAACAAATTAACACACTGCTTTATCCTTAACATCTTTCCTCACCACCTCACAGGGTCCCCCTAGCTCTCCTCCCCGCTCCCCCCATGTGCTCCGTTTTTTACTAATGTCTACAGACTTCATTTTTTTTCCCCCTCAGGGTGTCACTCTGTAGCCCTGGCTGTTCTGGACCAACAAACTTGTTTCTGCCTCCCAAGTACTGGGATTAGAGGTGTGCCCCACCAGATCTGGACAGACATGCAAAACACAAGTACTATTCCAAGTTAAGCCAATATGCATACTCTTCCAAAGACTTCAAATGGGTTGTTATATGAGTCATGTCATTAACTCCAAGTTTTTGTTTGTTTGTTTGTTGTTGTTGGTTTTAGTTTGTGTATTTGTTTTTCGAGACAGGCTTTCTCTGTGTAGCTTTGAAGCCTGTCCTAGCACTAGCTCTTGTATACCAGGCTGGCCTCAAACTCACAAAGATCCACCTGCCTCTGTCTCCCAAGTGCTGGGATTAAAGGCATGTGCCAACCACCGCCCAGTGTGTCATGTCATTAACTTCCAAGTTGAATATGAATGGTGGTACAAAATACGCTAGTGGGGCCTAAGTTGTGTCCCAGCCACTCCTTATTCTGCTCACTATGATCACCTGAAGTCTTTTGTCTTTACTCTTGAGTCCTGGAACTTAGGGCCTTCCTGTACTGCCCAGGTTGGTCTAGAACTGGAAATCCTACCTAAGCATCCCTAGTGATAGGTGTGTACCTAGCAGTAGGTCAGCTTCACACATCCCTGCCCTCGAGAGCCATGAGTGCATTCTGAATGGAGAAGATAATAGGAAATGGCCATACTGAACTGTTCACTAAATGTAGTAATGCCATTTGGTATTGGCTGTTATTGCTTCCCACGATACCTGTTACAATGGTTATCTTAGGTGGCTGATCATTCCTATGCTGTTCCCCGGAGTAGTACTGGGAGAAAGTTTGTGGGATTTTTGTTTCATTCTCAGACCCTTGTCTATTCAGACTCACTTAATTGAGATACAGCAAAATCACCATATACTACACAGTGATAGAACCACATCTTAAGTGAGAATTTCAGTAGAGTGATTGGTACAGGGAAAAGATCGGAAATTGTTCTAAAGGAAGGATGCTGGCAGAATATTATTAGCTATTTTTCATTGAGTGTGTGGCATTGTGTTAGAGGCAGGTGCAGCTGATTGAATTATTCTGTACATGCTGTTGTCTGCATCAGGCATTTAGAATGAAGTAGTGAACAAGATACATCTGTGGCTTTGCTCTTATTGGCGCTTTATAGTATGTAAGAAGGATATTTATGTTGCTGGGGTAGTCCAAGGTCATCCAGCTGAGATAGAACTTGTGGCCTTTCAGCCAAGGTCCTGAACCATGCAACACAGACACAGCTTGGGGTAGTTGCTTTGACAGTTTTTCTGAAGATTATTTATTTGAAACAGAGATTCTTTGTTTAATTTTGGAGCCTGTCCTGGAACTCTCTCTGTAGACCAGGCTGGCCTCGAACTTATCCTCCTGCTTCTGCCTCCTGAATATTGGGATTAAAGACGTTCACCACCACTGCCTGGCTAAAGATGATTTATAACAAAACTATCGCAGATACCTGAAAGGAAACTAGCTGAGCTTTAATCAGAAGTCATAGTTGAGAAAATTCCACTTATATGCCATGGGTTTTAGACTGGAGAGGGATAGTGAAATGAAGCTTGAAGAAATAGCGCAGTCCCAAAAGTTAGAGATGTCTCGTGTTGGACAATACCACCTCCAAAGGCAGGAAGTTAGCTACCAGAGAGTTCAGAAGAGGCTGAATCCTGAGTTTATCAAATGCTTTGAGTGCAAAGTAGGGCTAAAGGACTTCATGTCTTGCCCATTTGTCTTAATTTTCTACTAAGAAGACATTCTGTTGAAGTTAAACATTGAAAAGTAGGGATTAAGAAATTTTATGATTAAAAAGGGTAGTACCTCAGCAAATGAGGGTACTATATAGTATGAAAGAGGGTGCCAATTAAAGATAATGACAGGCTAAGTACTCATCACCTTGGAGGTGGCTTGGCATTAAATTGTTTATGGAATGTATCCTACCTGAGATTTGTAAATGAAGAAACAAAACCTGTCATGAATACCTAAAAGTGCACTTGGGCAAAGGAGGACCTGGAGGAAGTTGTCTTCATTTCTGTTCTGGTGTTTATATGGTCATCAGGAGTCTGGCTTTGGTTGGGTAATACTGTAACAAGGTTTATTGTGTTTCCTTGGGAAGGAAGAGAGCCTTCACATAAACTCTTGTTATTTATGTGAGAGTCAATGGATGCCAAATCCTTGTTTTTAGTATGTGGAGAAGTGTGGAAGTTAGTGTGTCACAACGACTACACCGTGAAAGCAGGAACCAACATAAACCTTTGAAGTTAGCTGAAATGGATAAGTCAGTGCTGCCAAAAACAGACTGTCCTTAGGCTCATGCACAGAGTGCGTGGCCTTGGAGTGCTGGCATTGCACAGGCTGACCTATGACATGAGTTCTAAGAATAGTCTGGGAAGTTAGCATGTCTTTATAAGCACCTGGGGTTAAGTAGCTGTATGGCTGTGTTGAAGTGGGCTCCTTTTAGAATGCTTTCTGTATAGAATTAAAATACTAAAAGAAGACCAGTGGGGCCATTGAGAGAAGGTAGAAGCTTGTGGAAAGCCTGAAGGACCTGAGTTTCATTCCTGGATCCCACAATGAACGGAGGGAACCTGCTCCCCACAATTGTCCTCTGATCCCTACGCAACAGCTCATGTGCATACACACATGCAGGTACAAAATAATAAATGAATACTAATTTTTTTAAATGAGACCATTGAAGGAACTAGTAACAAAAGGAGACCAATGAGCTTTCCCCTTAGTATTAGATGGTATTTACAAGAGTGAGTGTAGAAGGAAAGGCAGGGGAAGAAAGGAAGGAAATATAAGAAAGAAGAGTGATCATCTGAAGACCCCAGTGTCTTTCTAGCCAAGTCTCACACAGTTCATTTTTCCAGACCCCATTAAGATACATCTTTGGAACTGAGTTGTGGTGGCCCAGGTCTTCAATCCCAGAGATCAGGAGGCAGAAACAGGAAGATCTCTTGAGTTCAAAGCCAGCGTAGTCTACAGAGCAAATTCCAGGTCAGCCAGGACTACACATAGAAACCCTGTCTTGAAACACAAGATGCATCTTTGGCCTTTCCAGTTTCTGTAAAAACTGTTTTCTTTTTGTTTGTAAAAAATGCAGAACTTTGAATATGGCTCCGATGCCCCGACCTTTCTACCTCTCCCTGTTCATTTACAAGGTCTTTCTTCCTCAGCTAATAGCCATGTCATTCCTCAAGTAATCGAATGTTTCGTCCCTGTGATGGCTTCCACTCCCCGACCTGTATGTAGCTCGACACACTCTCTTCTCACACTCTTCCCTTTCCCTCCCTCCCCTTGTCACAACCACTCAGTGTTTCTCAGTCTGTTCTCAAGTCCTTCACTAGATATAAAAGCTACAACCTTGGAAATGATGCAAGGACAGTGAATTTGGCAAGTGATAAATGTTTTATGACCGTAGGTCGCCCAATGTGTGACGCACGTTAAAAGTTCAAATAGCTTCTTCAGAGGAAGGCACCACTTTGCATTATTTGAAGCAGTGTTTGACAGCTCTGTACATTTAATTTTTGCATATTTCATTCCCAGAGAGATACTCTTCTGCAAGAATAACTGGAGACACTGCTAATGTTTTAGCGGGATACATTTTCTTATATATTGAAAATTATACAGTGGGGAAGATTTTAAGAAGTTTTCAGAGTGTTCTTGGGCAAAGAGTTTGGTCATCAAGGTACAGAAACCTAAGCTTTTCTGCACAGGATTGACCTGTACCTGTCAAAGTCCTGTTGGGCAGGTACGGGCTGGGGGACAAACACACAACTGCAGATCCCCAGACATAGGATGGAGACTGATGTTAATAATGACAATGTCTCTTCATGTAGACAGGTAAGCACAGTTATTTCTTGGGGATACTATGATTTTTTTAAAAAAAAGATAATGGTTTAGTTGGACTTTTACCCTGGAATATCTGAGGGCAGCGCTCCTTTAGTCAGCACATCTAAATCAGAAAAATATTTTGCCTTTGGGTTCTCAATCACCTCAAAGTCCCTAGTACATAGTGACTAAGAACCATTCAACATATATATATATGTATATATATGTATATATGTATATGTATATATATATCACAAATGATATATATATCACAAATGATATATATATATATATATATATATATATATATATATATATATCACAAATCTACATTGTCAGGTCCTGTAGTCCTCTGGGTGGCTGTTCACTTCTGCCGCACACCTAGCTTCCCTCATCCCCTAACTAGGTCACCCTTTGTCTCCCTGTTAAACTTAATGATTGAGTCTACAATGGAAAACCTAATTTTAACCAGGCTAAACTGGAAGTATACGAAACTGAAGAGTTGGGCAAGTGTGATAAGTATTTGATACTGTGCCTTTCTAGCAACTCCTTACCCTCCATCTTTGGT